CTTTTTTCTTGGATATCTTCGATCAAATACTAATGAGGTTCTTATTTACACAAAATATAATTTCCTTTCTCCCATGTGGAGTTGATGTATCTCAGTGCACAAAAAGGTGTTTAGGTTAGAATTTGCATAAGGGCAGAATGTCTTGTTCTTTTCATATCAACTCACCCCATCCTCCCTTCATCCCCAACTCCTTCTCTGCTCGTCTTTATACAACAAGATTTGCTGAACGATGTCATGAATGAGAAGTGAGCCCAGTTGCCATAGCAACCAGCCATTTTACCTCCGACCGGCAACATATATTACAATGCAGAACAAAAAAGGTGGAACAAAATGAGGCAAAAGTACTTTCAGTGAGAGTAGGTGAATGGAGATGCTTTTACTCTGATCGCAAAGACAGTTGTTATTTAGCGAGCACACACCTTCTTGTGTAACCAGCAAGTTCCAGTACCTCTAGAGATTATTTGACCTTTTTTCTTTTATTCATAAGAAAAGAGAATGGTGAGTGCTGAAGTAGCAGTGCTGTGGAAGATCATATATATTTTCATTTAGTCTGACTACAGTATGAATTTCAGTGCTGATATTCTAAGTGGAGTTAGTTTTTCCCTATGTTCACCACTGGATTACTGGGGCAGTTCCTCTTGAATGGTTAACACTGATGTGCGTGTGTATTATTATTATTTTTCAATTTACCTCGTGTTTTGAGGATGTTTCTCTGAATAAAAGAAGAGGCCTGTGTATTCATCTCTCTGATGATGGTATTTGAATAAAGGTCATGTTCAGATAAAGGGAAATGTCAGGTTTGTATGTAATGCAGAATAGCCAAAAATGCCTTAAAGTGTGCTGTGTGCTCAAATGCGAGTGTCGGAACTGTGCTTGGTTTGATTAGTAATCAAAATTCATTGCCAAACTGCAACAAACCGAAGATTTACCGAAAAGGGCAAAATACAGTATATACGGTTTAGAGCACAGATGGTTCACTGAGAAACCAGGAGGGAAACTGCATTCTTAAGCTATGATAATGAGAAGCAGATGAAAATTACATTAAAAAAATATAATAATGCTTGTCTCACGAGTGACCCCAGAGAAAGCCTTTGGCGTCAAGCCTCTGCTGATTGTGAAAGTTCGCGTTTTCCTTCTGCTGTTGGTAGCTTTGCCACGGGTCTCAGAGTAGTGTCGCGATGTGTATCCTCACAAAATAGATTGCCAGCCTGAAGAGAAGTATCAAATGTTGTGCCGTTTTGCCAGTTCTGTAGGTGTGAATTTAAAAATAAAAATTCTGTCATTATTTACTCACCTTTGTGCCATATACCAAACCTGTTATTTTCTTTCTTCTGTAGGAATTAAAAGGAGATTTTTAGTCAAATGTTCATTCTGTTCAGTGACTGTGTAGAATAGTGATCACTGGCAGATCTTAAACTAATTTTTATTTATTTATATATATATGCACAGTGAAATGTGGTTTGTCAAAACTGGTTACAAGACATCATTGTCAAAACTGTCATGATGCGTCTTAATGTGCCAGATTTGAACATATGCAATAATGTGATTGTGATAGCTGCTGCTGAAGAAAAGATTAAAGATTGCTGCTGCTGAAGAAAAGATTTTCACCACATAAAGCTATAATATAACTTCAGAAGATGTGAAATATGGTGTCTGTATTTTATACCGAAGACTATAAATATAGAAAGACGGTTCACTCCTATAACTTATGAATGGGAAAAACTGCAATGCGCAATATGGCGGAATGCGTCCAGCCTTCTAAGTAAAAGAGGCAATCGCTGATTGGTAAAGACATTGCATCACTGCAGCTGCCGTTAGAAGCTCCGGTTCCCATAGAAACCTGAGACTCGCGCTTAGGACTGCACATGCGCGTTTGCTGGTCTAGCCTGAAAAATAAGCTTTTTTAATGCTATTTGAGCATAAAAAACAACATTTATGGTACAGATCATCATTATGTCATTTAATTGTGAGTTTGGCAAGCGGTTTTTGAGATTTCAGGATTACCCCATTCAAATAGATGCCTGAAATGGCTACCTGGAGGCGTTGCAAATATGGCCACCGAGTGAACAGGCTTTCCTTAAAAGGGACTTGTTATACAGTATACAGTTCAAAAGTTTGGGCTCTGTACGTTTTTTGAAAAAGTCTCATGCACACTAAGGTTGCATTTAATGGATAAAAAATACAGTAAGAATATTGTAAATGTGCTAATACTTTTCAAGAAGAAAAGTATTTATTTATTTTATTTTAAACTGCCCCCAAACTTTTGAATGGCAGTTTATGAGTTGTCTGAGCTTTCTGTTGTTGTGGTTAATTTTGTCATTTAAAAAAAAAAAAAAAAAAGCTGAATTATTTATTTGCACATTGACACAAGTAGTGGCCTATAATTTGTCTCATGTATACAGTCAGCCAAGGTCACTTTCTTGAATCACAATAGATTATTTTCACATTCCACAGACTTAAGTTGGGTATTATATCAGCAGCACCAAATTTGAAGTATTTCGTCAGAGCTGCTTGGTCCTGCAGGTTGTTTTGTCAGCACATGTGTGCTCTTTGTCCCTGTGCTCCTCACACTCTCCTTCAGTGTGAGGGCTGTGTGCTTCAATATTGCCTCTCACATCCACAACAAGGTTTAGAGTGTCTTGCTCAAGGATGTGTTAAGATTTGAGTGCTGTGTTGGAAGAAACAGAAGGTCCCTGGAGCTGTGCACACCGAACCACATGGAAAAAGCAGATGCATTTCATTTCTTTAATGAAATCCACCCAAATGTGGTGTTGAAGGATGCTCCATGTCAAGTGTTTTGTGCTAGCGTAAAAAAAAAAATCTTGACATTGGGGTTTGTTTTGTTTAGAGAAGGTTAGGAGTCATTTTTTTAGGATATGAAAACGATCTTCTATGATTCTCTTCAGTGGGGTTTAATTGGGTTTTGGGTTTAGCGGCTTTGCATAGATAAGATCAAATGCTGCTGAAAGCTGTCTGTGATGATATCACTTATGAATGTATTGATTTTTTTTTTCTGTTTACAAAGGAGAGACTTTGAAATATGCTGTTGTTGTATGATGCATTGCAGAAGTAAGGTGCTTTGGGGGAAGAACGGTCTATTTTTCCTTATATATGCCTTCACCGATGCTTTTCCCCTCTACAAGATCTGCAGGCATGGAATTAGAAATCTCACAGAAGCAATAAACAGTAATTGGATTTGGCGATGGAAATCTCGTTACCAGGAGAGAGAGAGACCCTGATGGGAACACTGGCAACTTCTCAGGGCTATTGCTGCCACCCTCCCCTCCTTTCTCTCGCCCCACTGATTTAACCAATCATCTTGTATTTGAATCCAGCGAGACCCGCGGTGATGAGGCTGACTGCCGAGGGAGTCTGTGTACGGCTGTCAGTCAGCAAAGCTCTGAGACCGTATTCTTGCAGCCAAGATCAACGGCCACCGCACAAGAGTGTTCTCCCGTCGTTGTGCATCTACAGCTTGCCTAATAGTTGTCACCGGAAAAAAAGTTCAAGTCTGCTGCAAATGTTCACAGTTAATCTGACCAACTCTGCACACAATGGCCAAAAGATCACCACAATCCATGCAAACAGAACATAATTACTAACCCGTAGTAATGATTTTGCTAGTAAATATGCTTATAGCAGTTCCCTTTGGTGATGGATTTAAGCCAGTATGATACAAAAATTGACCCTATTTACTTTTTTAATATATGGTGTGCATGAGTTAGTGATGCATATTATTAAAAAATAAATAAAATGTCTTTACAATATTATCATAATATTACCTCTGAAACCACTCCAACAAACTGGCTCCATTCTTGTGTAATGTAATGTCCACTTTTCACAATAAAATCAATTCCTAAAGGATAAGGCAAACATTTTTTCTTTAATTGACACTCACAATTTGTGTACTTTACCCCCAAAACAACCTTTTGTGTTTATCCTCACTGGAAATTGTAACTTTTAATCCTTATTTAATCCATATTTGTAATGAAAGATGTATGAGGTCTTTGAGTTGCTGAGTTGACATGAGACTAGGCAAATGAAAGCCCAGAGTTTCTCAAACACTTTCACAACTTTCAGATTCTCTGTTTGCGATTAGAGCACTCATGTTGGTTTGTTTACTGCCCGGCAGTTCATTTCAGGGGATCCAGGAAGGTTTCATAGGTGCTGGATTTTAATTAGATATGTCCTCTCATCTACCACCACAACAACGATAAAAGGGCATCAGCCGAAATCCATTTATGCTTTCCTTCAAGCCTGAGCTGAAGGAATGAATTGACTTCTAATATTGCACTAATTCAGCTTGCAAAAAGTTAATTGAGAGGGTCAGGGAGCAAAAATGCCTCGTCAAAATCAATTAGCCGGCTCACATATCTCACTGAAAACTCAATAGTGTTTCTTTTTTGCCCATTCAGGAACTTTTTGTGATTGTCACCTCATGCGCTTTCGTTCCTCAGTGAAAAGCATCATTGTTTGAAAATGCCACCTCTGCTGTGTGTAGGTGTTTGTTTAGAGAATTTGTACTGATTTGCATCAGACAAGTGGGGCTGTCTCGGGAAGTGCCAGTGCATTTTGATTAATGCCATTGGCTGGTGCAATTGTAATCAGAAAAGTTGAATTTGAAGTTTTAAATAAGATTCTTAACTTAAAAAACTTCGGTTCTTAACTTAAAAAATAGAGAGAGAGAAAAATACTCTTTATATCATGAGACATTATGTCATAATAGCTCTGTGAGACATTAAAATGGACACAGAAAGAGAGGTGATCAGCCCTTTTCAATATTAGGCATAGTGTGTTACATTATAATATTAGTATGTTGAAATTATGTTTTTTAATTAATAGTGCAGAGACATCATATCAAGATGTATGGTTTTTGTTCCCTAGAGACTCTGTGTTATTAAAAGGACCTTTTGGAGGATCATTACTTATGCGTGTGCTGGCTTGATGCTTAATCATTAGGTGTTGGAATAACGAACCTGTAATTATGCTCTTTACCTCAGACGGGGCATCAGAGATGGTGGGAGCAGGAAATCCCAACAGAAGACAATATCCAGAAAGGAGAACTACTCACCTACAACCTAACCGAACTCATCAAACCTGAGGCCTATCAGGTCCGCCTCACACCGATAACACGGTTTGGAGAGGGAGACTCAACAGAACGGATCATTCACTACAGTGGTAAGAAAAACTTGTTTGATTAGGGTCATGTTTGTTTTTAATGTTCTCAGTATTTTAATACATGAAAGCACCATAGCATGATGGTGAACTTAGCTCTATAAAATACTGTATGTTTAGAGAAAGTATAGTAGAGTCTCCAAATACAGTGAGGTCAAAAATAGGGATGCATGACACTGTAGCATATTGTTTATCAGTCAATATTAGAGATTTTTTCATTTAGATTTTCTTTACCATCATCTAACCCTAACTTAATCTTTAAAAAATAATAATAATTTAATAACACTGTTTAAGGCCGTCTTTAGCTAATCTCAAAATGGAGAACCATTTTGCATACTGTGCTTTATGTTGTGATGCCTAAATTCATTTGTAATATTTAAAGTCCCCCTATTTTGCTTTTTCAGAGATTACCTTTCAAGTGTGGTATATAGCTGTTTGTAAATGTACAGCTGATTTTAGTTTTTAGTCATTTTAACTTGACAAAATTGTATAGAATTTTAATATAAACCCTTTATCTGTTACAGTATCAGCCATAAAATAAAATGTTAAATAGTTCACCACTAGTAAAAAGTCCACAGAGACCAAAGTCGAAGTCTGCTTGAAATGAATTACACTTTTCTCTCAAATTATTATGCATTTACTATGCATAATTATTATTATTCAGTTAGAAAAATGCTAAATTTTGACCTGTGATCACAGACTTTTGCTAATATATAACTGCTCTTGCAACATAGATAATAAACCAAGAATCATGTCAATGATGAGCAGATACTGTCTGTGTACTGCCTGTCTTAAAGTCAAGGTCACTTATTAAAAACACTTACATTTTTCCTTCATTTCAGTTCAGATGATTTGACAGCTCTAAATATTGTGCAAATGCTACGTTTTTAGTAATGTAATTGTTGATTCAACTGTTTTTAATCCAACAAATAACCAGCAGAGGACATTTTAATTATTTACTTTTTTATGTAAAAGAGACCTCTGCTGGCTGTGTACATGGAAAATCCATTTATATTACTCATCTGTTGACATGCATATTGTTGCAACTGTTGCTTGTAATCTACTATTTTCCAAAATTGACCAGAGCTATAGATTGATCTTATGGTTTTGCTTTGTGCTTCTTAAAGAGGCCAGTCGAGACACAGGTAACGTATGTCAAGTCACCTGCTAAACCCTACGTCTGTGGTGCCTGAACCCCTTCCCTTCTTTACTGGAAAACCGTAATGTGGCAGCTTTATGACCTCACCAATGGCTGGATGCACACGAGCACATTCATTAACTGTGCACAGTGTTCTGTTATCGAGGTTGTGTGATATTAGAGACTCTTTAAAGGCTCTGTCATAATTTTAAGCCTTTGCTTATGGGTAATGGACATGAAATACTGTGAAAAGTCGACGGGTCCTGAGGTGTGACATGCTAGACTAGTTAATTCCCCCTCACACTCTGTATGTCTTCTAAAAATAGGGATTAGCAAGAAAAGACCCCCGTAGATCTGTACAGACCAGGTGCAATTACAAAAGCAGAGGAAAAAATTCCCCCAAAAAATCATTTAATCTTCCATTCGGTCATTATTTGATTTATTCTGCTCATAGTTTATTCAGCAGCTTACCCATGTGATATGAAGCCCTATGGCTCAACACGGTCTTTGTGTCAGGTAATGGAAATACTAGTGCTAAAAAATTGAAAATGTCTCATTCCATAACATCTCCCTCACTGCTATTCCATTCCCCCGAAGTCATTTTGCCACAGGGCTCATAGGAAAAGACCATCTGTATTGATGGGATGGCTTTCACACCAGGAGCACTTCCATCAAAGAGTCCAGCTTTTGCCACTGTGACATTATGCATTTTAATTGGCTCAAATAGCCTGGAGAAGGTGATAACACAATCACACCAGTCAAAATCCATATCCCAGCTTTCACAATACACTGGAATTTAAGCCATGTAAACGGTTGAATTAAGCTCTCTGTGAGGATAGTACCTTCTATTGGTTTGCTAAAACTGCACCTTTGTGTTTACATTTATGCATCTGGCAAATGCTTAAATCTAAAGGGATATTGCATTCAAGGTATACAATTTTTTTGGTTCATGTCCAGTTCATTTTTAATGTTAAAGGGGATAGTTCACCGAAAATGAAATTCTGTCATTAACTCACCCTCAAGTCGTTCCTAACCTGGGGTGTGTTTCCCGTACAACGAGGTAACTCGATGCTTCACTATCATAGTACGATGCATCGTTGAAGAAATCAACTAGCTAGTCACGACTGTTTCCCGAAACCATATTGTCGCAAAGTTCAACCACGTTGGTTTATGACGTCACGCACGTGGTGGAGTAATAACTTATTTTAATTAAACTGTCTGAGATCTAATTAATGCTAGATGTTTTGATATAAATTGCAGACATCTGAGGAATATTTCTCATTTTTCTCAGTTATTTCGCTTTATTTCCAGATTTAATCATAGGCTCGTTCTTACATTGCAGAGCTCGTTCGCACATGCGCAGTCTTCAGAAACGGTGCTTTAAATCTCTTGACAAACTCAAAGACGTAAATGACATTTGTATGTATTCTAAATAAAAAGACACAGGTTGTACTGAATGTCAGCTTGCTTATTTTGCTCAGGATAAGGATTTATTAAGTCCACATGTCATGCAATCTAGAAACTATGCTTTTAACCACAGGTCGAGAGCTGTCGTTCCAACCACACAACTTTGCGATGCTTTTTGCGAATGTTCGTTGGAACGATGGTTTCGGGAAACATCGACTCATTGAACTATGCTGATAACGACGGAACTTGCGACCAAAGTTGGCTAACGATGCTTTTGGGAAACGCATCCCTGTATGACTTTCTTTCTAAGGTTTCTAAGCACAAAGCACATTTATATTTACATGGCAGATGCTTAAATCAACAGCAATTTACATTGCATTCAAGGTATACATTATTTCAGTTCATGTCAAACACCAATGAATATTTAATTGTAAAGAGGTAATTCACACACAAAAATCCAAATTCTGCTCCGTGAAACAAAACAAAAATATTGAAGAATGTCTCAGTGTTTTTGTCAATACAATGAAAATCATTGGAATCCAATGTTGTTGACTTTCATTGTATGGAAAAAAAAAACAGTTGAATAAGTCCAAAATATATTAAGAAAGAAAGTCATACAGGTTTAGGATGACATGAGGGTGAGTAAATGATGACAGAATTTCTTATTTTTGGATCACAGTGTATATGTGTTTATTTTTTACTTTTTTCACTGAATGTTGAGAATTTATGAAAATAAGGCAGAATCTGCCATTTCAGTGATTTTTATTCTCCCATACTTGGTGGTTTTTATTGGAAAGTATTGGAAAGGCAAGCCATTGCAACTTGTGGCAAAGGTCTCACAGTGTTTGTTGAGACTTGAATGGCTGCTGTTCACATTCGTGCATGGACAGTGCCAGACAAATTAACAAGCTACCAAGAAGAATTGATGGACTGTGTCATTTGGTGTCATTCTATAAAGCAGTTATTCAACACATAAACTTGCTGCTGCCTGTAGATTGCTTTGGAAAGCCACCAATTGGCAGCTATTTATGAGCCTTTCAGAGAACACAAACAGGCTGAGAGGACAGTGCTAACAAGCTATTATAATTGTATTGTCAAACAGTTAGTACAACTCACTACGACTTTACTATGGGGTTAGGTTGTCATAAATGGCATTATTTCTTTGTTTAGTTGTTTACTGCTGATAATATTAATAATAATGATCGAATACAGGTCATTTAAATGCTAATGCAAGTCAATGCAAGCATTGTAGCAAAATGGATGAATATGAAATATGCTGATGAGGATGCATGTATGATTCTACTCATTAATTTTTATAGGCCTTTGATTATGTGTGGGGTGCATTACTTGGACTCAGTGATAACATATTGTTTCTGAAATGCCTTCGGGTTTTGTATCACAAACCCCAGTTTCAATGATAAGACAACATGGCTTGTATCTAGCCTGAAATGCATTACTGCAATTTATTACTCAGCTCTGCACATTTATGTTGTTCTCTGGCTTTGTTCAAATGAAAGGCCTGAATATGGTAGGATTTCACCTTAAAGCTTGCCTTTGAGTAGGGCGGCTGTGAATCCTCTCTGAGTGGGAGATAGTCTAATTGCTTGTGTGTTTAATGATGTTGACGTTTTGCTTTCGCCTCCTGCTCCAATAGCTCTAATTGTACTTTTACGGGGATGGAGGAAGAGAGACAGGGAAAGGGAAAGAACATGAAGCCCATCAATTTAGAGAGTGTGTTAATGCGGCACGTGTTTCCAAATATGCAACATCTGTTTAGTTTAACTAAAGCAGGCCTCTCCCCTCCTTACCCCATTTAGAAACAGCTGGGTAGTTTTATAGGAACGGAACTGTAACCTTCATGGAATAATTAGTTTCTAAATTGCGATTTTGCAATAGGAAAAAACAGCTAGTCTTGAATAGTTACCATGGAATTTGATCAGTTCACATGTGACAGACATATTGATTGTGCTTTTTTATCAGTAATGTGGTTGTTTAGCGATAACAAATTGTTTATTGTTTTGCAGGGTTAAATATATTAATTCAAAATCAGTTCTAATTTATTGTATTTATACGAATCATGTTCAATTCCGTTGATAAAGTATTGTGTTATCTGTAATTGAATTAATTATTTTATTCTATTTAAAAAAAATCATGTATGTTAAAAGAGTTTGTACATTGCTGTATAGCCAGTCATTTTAATATTTAAAAAAAAAAATGTATTAACACCAGACACTTTTACATGATAAAGCATTTATTGCCGTTCCCATCAAATTTTTTGTAATAATAATAATTATATTATTGACTGTTAAGTGTTAATGATTTGAGGAAATAACCTTGATAACATGGAGAGCACCAGCAATTTGGTTTGAAATGTTCCACCCCATTTCCTCCCTTTTTCTCTTAATGTCCAAACATATGAATCTTTATAAACGTAGCTTGAGATGCCAAAAGCAGTTTGTTAACACTTGAAGACATTCTATGTCTGATAGAATGCACCAAACCTTAACATAAATTAACTTAAAAAATAACCACCAAAAAAGAAAAGGCATCTGTTTCAAGGAATGACTCACTGGCATTTTGTCTTCCTTGACAAAAACCTCTTTTCCCCTTGAGGTTGCAAATCCCATGACACTTCCCATCATTCATTCATTTGTAAATCCTGTGTATGTAAACAGACGTTTGATAATTGATTCCCCTTCTTTCCCCCTCCTGTCAACTTTTTACTTTTTCATTTGTATCATCAATTTCGTGTGGAGCTGTTCCCCCTGCAGTTCACAAAGCAGACATTTACACTGACAACCCCTTGTGAACATCTGCTGTGTTTGAACGCTGTTGTGCTAATCTCTCTCATTATAGGAGCCTGATCAAATGCCAGAACCGATGCCACTTTTCCGTCCCAGAAGGCGACTGACACACTGTACTCATTTTACTGCTGGAATGTCAATTTGAGACACTTATATTGCCTTATTTCTTTCAATTCTTCTGCTAAAGTTAGAGCCCTCGACAATATTATCTTTTCAAACATTTGACCTTTGATTTTTGTTTTCCCAACATAGATATTCCAAGCTTAGTGTGGAGGATCCAAACACATTTTCTGACTTAAACAGGATTGCGCATGGTTTTTCTGTATTCTATTAAGGCACTGAACTTAGTTGGTTGAAAAAGGGATCGTTTCAGTCTCACTATCTTTTCCACACATGCCCTCTGAAACCTTTCTTCCACAATGCACCTTAGCCCTCAATGAGGCTGCCTGGAAGCACACGGCTTTCTGCCACACTCAGATAGGCTGCTTGTGAATGGAATGAAGAGAGATACAGGTCTTTATGGTTCACCTGAGCATTGCACAGCCCCATAGCGACCTCTCCCCACACAAACACCCCCTCCTGCACCGAAACGCTATTTCATTTCCCCTCTCTAACGGTGTGATACATGGTAATGATGCCCAAAGCACTTTCTAAACACTTTTCTCCAAGGGCAAACTGCATTCTCCCCTCTGAATCCCCTGCTGTTGTTTATAATGGTTTATTAATAAACTATCTACTATAAGCCTAGGGTTTCACACGTGTAACCTCTTCTTTTTTCTGTTTTACAGCACCGGTGAATCCTCATTGGAGTAAGTTTTGGGTTTTTTCGAATTAGTAAAAAAGGGGGAATAAGAGCCATTTAAAAATATCTATAGCTTTTGCCTTTTGAAGTTTAGCATGAGTAAATGATCAACGTGATCTCATTGGTATAGGTATAGCCATTTATATGTTTGGATAGACAGATTATGTATCAAAATATTAACATATGGACAGCTGCTGATTACCTTTTTTATGTACACCAACGTGCAAAAGTTTAGGGTTAGTAAGAGATCTTTAAAATGTTTTTGAAAATAACTTTTCTATTTCAATAATTATATTTTAAAATGTAATCTAACAGTGTTTTCATAATTATGTTCAGTCATACATCTGCTTATACACTACTGTTAAAGTTTGAGGTCAGTAATTTTATTTATGTTTTTGAAAAAATCTCTTATGCTCACCAAGGCTGCATTTATTTTATCTGGTCATTTTTAGCAGCCATTATTCAGAAATCATTCTTACACGATGATATGGTGCCTGAGAATTTGTATTATTATTATCAATGTTGAAAACTAACTGCTTAATATTTTTGTGGAAACCGTGACAAATTTTTTCAGGATTTTTTGAATTTTTTTTTTAATTTGTTCAAAAGACCAGCATTTATTTTAAATAGAAATCTTTTGCAACATTATAAATAACTTTACTCTCACTTTTGATCAATTTAATGCATCCTTGATGAATAAAAGTATTCATTTCTTTAAAAACAAATCTTACTGACCTCAAACTATAGTGTATGTATTATGCAAATTATACACATTTGAAAGCATATACATACAAATGTTTTCAAATCCTATAAGGTTTATTGTATATTAAATTCATGGATTGTATTGTTATTATAACATGTGAAAATGAAAAATGTTTAATTCCATCACATTTTTTAACAAATTTGTCATTTAAAGGTTTAATTTTTTCTGTGTAATTTCTAATGGTCATAAATAGCGTGACAGTAAATGGGTGAAACATTTAAATGTGACATCAACAGTTTTTGACTAGTTCATAAATGTTGAACTCTGATGATGATAATGATGAAAGCAGTTTTTCAAATTTGTACAAATGTTTTTCTAAAGATCTTAAAAAGAGCTTGTTTAAGATGTTCTCATTGATATTGTACATTTTAACTGTCTAATAAGCATCCAAAAATGTATTTATGTACAAATATGTGATCACTCTGGAATAGCTTTTTAGATGCTCTTTCTGCACACTCTTCATTGTACTGTTTTTTTTCTGCTGAAACAACCATAGGTAAGTTTCAGTGCGGCTTCGAAGAGGACACCATCTGTATGTTCACCCAAGATAAAACCGAAGAGTTTGATTGGACAAGACATAGCGCTGCCACCAGGGACACTAAATATACACCCAACACTGGACCCAGCAGTGACCGCAGTGGCTCTAAACAAGGTATACTGCACATGTGCCACTTAGTATTAAATCAAATCTGTAAGTTAAATATAGACAGATGTGGATTTAACAATTCAAGATTCATATTTTCACAAATAAGTTAATGAATTGTTGTTCATCAGTGGCATAATGGATGTTGAGTAAAAGGTTATATCGTCAGCAAAATGAAGCTTGTGACTTTTAGAGAGAGGCTAATAGCATTAGCGTATAAAGGCACTTTCAATTTCTCATGTTGCTAAAGGAGTGCACAGGCCGTCTTTTGGTTGGGCGATGTTTAGAGGAAGATGCTCAGTGGGTTCCATTAGCTGCACTTTCAGAAAAATGGTGTCAGTCATTAAACCTGACATCGGATCATGACAGATCCGGTGTGCAACTGGATAATTTCCATGGGTCAACACATCACTAATGCAATCAGCTTGTCTAGTACTTTGGTAAAGTAGTGGAATCTGAAGAATGCAAGTCATAAGTTCAGAAAGAACGGTAGGGTGCTTATTTAATCTATATACTGAAGTGGGTTTTTAAGTGTTGCAGGGATAACGTAATTTTTTTCATTTAATCACCCTCAGTGTTGCCAAATCCTCGGTTTTCCCGCATAACATTAGTTTTACGATCTCTTTATGAAGCTTTTGAAGTGGTAGTTGCGTAGCTGTCAATGGAGAGTACATAACTGGCTCAGATTTTATTAAAAATATCTTCATTTGTGTTATGAAGATGAATGAAAGTCTTACCGGTTTGGAATGACATGAGGGTGATTAAATGATGACAGAATTTTCATTTTTGGGTGAACTAACCCTTTAAGCTTCTGACAAATCTTTCAACCTCTAAACAATGTGCAAGTTAGAAGTTTTGAGTTATAATAGTTTGCAGAAGCACAAGTATGTAAAAGAGAACTAGTGAGTAGATGAGTTTACTTGTTCAATCTGATTATGTTTAATGTCCCCGGCAACATCTGGTCCCATTTTAGCCACTTGATAGCAACTGACTTTTGCAAGACACATAAAAGCTTTAAAAAAACCCTGATGTACTTAATTTTAATGTAATAAAAAAGGGAAAAAAAATTGTGTTAACCACCACAGACCGTATTTCAGGTATTTAACCAAAAACCCTTTCAGAAAACCTATTGACTTGAGGACGATGGAACCGGAAGTGCTAAAATGCTAAGTTGTTTCTGGGTTTCAGGACTCATTCTTGCAGCACTCTGTTAATATTTCAATTAATGGATGTTTAAGGGCTTGACTTGAGTGGGAGAAAAACTCAGGTCAATAGCTTTTTAAGTCACTCTGACCTGATGTGAAAGGAAAGAAATCTGTCTTTTAAAAGGCTATGAGAAATGTGAATTGAGAAATCATTTGTCCTGCTCTGTGGTCACTGAGGTCCTATATTGATTATTCTGAGGCAGCGCTAAGTTCAGTGGAGGTGTATTGAAGCTTGGAGAAATTATATCCTGATAATTTACCATGTGCAATATCAGATTTGAACTGTTGTGTGACAATTTTAATTATTGTGCCAAATTTAATTCATTCTCTTGATTTGATGTATATGTATACACTACCATTTAAATGTTTGGGATCAGTATGTTTTTTCTATTTCAAACGAATGCTGTTCTTTTGAACTTTCTATTCTTCAAAGAATCCTGAAAAAATGTATCACGGCTTCCAGAAAAACAAAAAAAAACAGCTGTTATCAACATTTATAGTGATGAAAAATGTTTCTCGTGCACCAAATCTGATTTCTGAAGGATCATATATGACACTGAACACTATATTAATGGCTGCTGAAAATTCACCTTTGACATCACAGAATAAATCACATTGTATAATATATTCAAATAGAAAACCGTTCTTTTAAATTGTAATAATATTTCACAGCATCCCTGTTTTTACTGTATTTTTGAGTAAGAGACTTCTTTCAAAAAAACTAAAAAAAATTACCAACCCCAAACTTTTGACCAGTAGTGTGGGAGCTACTATGATCAGTTAATTTGTATGTACTTGTGGACTTTGCACAGGTTTCTACATGTACATTGAGACCTCACGACCACGTCTGGAGGGAGACAAGGCCCGACTGTTGACCCCATCCTTCAATGTTGCCCCTAAAAATCCCTACGGGAATGTGGCCCCCAACCCAACGTACTGCTTCAGCTTCTACTACCACATGAATGGGAAGCATATAGGTGGGTTACTGTTAGAACAGTACATTGCAAAGACTCCTGATGTGATCAACTAAAGGGGATTTGTATGCAGATTACTTATTTTAATTGTTTCTTCTAGTTAGTGTTGATGAGCTGTAACCTCTACAACTAGGGTGTTTGACATCACAAATCTACTGTTCAAATGAGGGCTTGATGCCCTTCTCAGGATCTTCTTAGGCTCACAATGCTTTTTTGGAAACGCAGCCCTGGTCAGTCAGTGACAGGCAGATATGGGCTGGAACGTTCTTACTTTCAGTGTCTCAAGATGAAAACAAAGATGAAATGTCTACCACTTTCCAGTTAGATATGTATAAAATGTCAAAATATGGACAGGTTCTAAAATGTTTTATGTATGAACCTTTTTAATGTATGAATGAATATGCAGATGCTTTATTGAATATTACATTTATGGAATTGGGGTTGATTTAATTTCTCAGAAATGTTATTTTTATATGTCACAAGTGCGACTGTATATCCACAACTTAATTTATCATAATAACTTTGTCACAGTTTCAGTTTCTTATAATTGTGATGTTATAAATTGCAGTGTGACGTATCTCAAAATGTTACTATTTCTTATTTTAAACTTATATAAGGATTTCCTGATTTATGTATTTTAGATGCTATTTTACTTTAGGTGGAAACAGGCCTACATATAAAAATATATTTCTCATAATTCTTTAATTATGAGAATAAAATCTTTATAAAATCTTTAAATCTCATAGACTTTACGTATATATGTCGAAATTGCCCATTTGTTTCTCATATCCTACACTTTGTCTCATAAATAACGGATTTGTTTTTATTTTTTACTCTCAGACAGAAATGGGCTTCCATATAAGTTAACATGCTAGTCAGAAATTTGCAGTGTACTCTTTGGTCTTTTCTGGGATGGAAACACTTGCTATTAAAGGTTTCTAGTGGACTGTAAGTGCTGTAAATGACTTAGACCAATAACTCAATTTGTGCTCTGTGGTACACATACATTTCTATAGTTCCTTTTTTCATGCTCACTTTATGCTGCTGCAGTTGAGCTGGACATGCTGTCGCACTTCTGGGGTAGCAATGACCTCCATGGCCTCACAGACAAGCTTGTAACTGCAATTTTCTGCTTCACAAAGCTGTGTGCTTTTAGAATAGTAAGTGTGAAGCTAATTCCAACTCACCAGGGTGTTCTCTTCCTGGCTTTTGACACGTGGTCTCATCGGGCGTCTGGGGTTAAAAATCCATGTGACCAACAAGATCTTCTGTCTGGCTGCACAGCAAACAACCGAGACAACATGGTTAGATGGCTGTTTTGATATAAAAACCTACCCAAGTGGTTCTTAAGGTGCAAGTAAAATCCATTTTGTGTATGTTGCACTAGCCTATATTCCAGTTGTCTTTGACTTATACTGACCGCTAGTGGTTTGGATGGACTGTAATGCAAATCCAAATGTTTTCAGTTAAAAATGCTATCGTAAAAGATCAATTATAGTAATATATTCGGCTTGTTACGTGATCTCAAAATGCCAGCCACTGACCGCTCCACGTACAATAAATATTATTAGAGAACTAATATGACTAGAGTCCTCATCTCATTTTCAAAAAATGTTGTAATGATGGAAAAAACTACATTGTTAAAGAAGAACGAAATAGCAACAAGAGTTTTTTTGTGTTGTTTTAATGTTTCACTCTTTTTTTACGCCGTTTTTCTCCAGAAAGTATATCTTAGCATTAATAGCATCACATCTCTGTGGCACTAATCTCATTGTCTCCTCATTTGCAAGGAAATGAAACATACCATTTGGCCAAATCCCAGACATCTGAGAGTAATACAGATTTTCTTCCAGCGTTTCCTTTCATTAGCGTAGAATTAGAGTAGTAGCAATTATATATATAGTGCCAAATATATATATACTGTGTATTTACAACAGCAGTGATTGTGTTCTGAACAGATTTATGATTGATTTCTTCTGGAGATGGAGATGAGTCGATCTCTCTTCAAGGTCACTGAACCTTGCAGTTGCTATGTAATACATAAGAAAGGTTCCAAGGGCATTATGTAGTTAACTGGCATATTGCATCTAATGACTTCTACTGACACTAAGTGCATATGCCTATTTTTCAAGGAACGTTAAACGTGTATTTGAGGCAGAAGAGCCAGACGGGTCAGGACACATCTGTGTGGACCCTGAGTGGGAACCAAGGGGACCGTTGGAGGCAAGCCAGAGTTAACATCAATCCAACATCCTCTTTCCAGGTGCCTTTTTCTGTCTTCTCTTTGCTTGCATAATAACACGCAAACAATAATATAAGAAATATATTAATAAAATAATGTAATATTAAATGATATACATAATATTTTTCTAATTTATTATAATATAATTTATATAATTGAATATACTTTGCATTCAAAATGAAATGAAAGGCCAGTAAGGAGTGAAAATGTGTTGTTGTTTTTTTGGGGGGTTTTTCTGCCCATTCATTTAGATGGTTGTGGAGGGTATTCGTGGCTCTGGCATTGAGGGGGATATTGCTATAGACGATGTGGCCATAGAGGAAGGAGAGTGTCGAGACCCCCCACCCAGTAGTAGTAAGTATATTGGAAAAGAGTTTTTCAGAATTGGCTTTTGAGTTTATTGCAATGAAATAAAAAATGAATAAGAAAAATAATAATTGTAATTAATGTGTTGTAGTTAATGTGGCCCTATTGTAATAAGGGCCAAATTGATTGAAATAATACATGTAATTCATTCCTATTTAATTGCATTATTTAATTAAATTGGGGAGAAAAAGAACTCGCTTATGCTCACCAAGGCTGCATTTATTTCATCAAAACAGTGATGTTGTGAAATATGATTACAATTTAAAATACCTTTTACATTTTGGTGTGTCTTAAAAAGTCATTTATTCCTGATTTTTCAGCAGCTATTACTCCAGTCTTCAGTGTTACATGATCCTTTTGTGTTTGGTTGGTTTTTTTAAAGAAAAGTTGAAAGAACATTTATTTGAAATATATATTTTTTTAACATTAGAAATGTATTTACTGTCACTTTTGATCAGCTTAATTAAAACGTTGCTGAATACCTGTTTAGTATAAATAAATAAGTCACAAGAACAAACAATTGTGGAAGAAACTTTTCCATAGGATCAAGGCTAACAAGACGTGGACTGTATTATCTTTTATTTTTCTTGTCTATGACAAGATAATCCACCAGCTTGAAGGACTCTTTCATGACTCAGCAAACATTTGCAATCCTTTTTTTCCATTCTGTTTTGAATTAAAGCATAGCACGTTGAAAGAAAGATGTTCTATAGATACAGAGCGTAGACAAACCTCATTAAACTTCTAAAGGACAGAAGAATTGTTAGTCTCTGAATTATTTACACAACACTGAGAAATGAATGTTTGTTCACATCCATAACTGCATTTGTTCTTGTCTTTATTCCCACAGATATAAGATCCCTGGCTTCTTCCGCTGCAGTGCATATATGGCAGCTCTGTCTCACTTTACTTTTGGTCTTGGTTGGCCTCCGAAGGTGACCTCATCACATGGAGGTGGAACCCAGCTTTGGCAATTCATAGAGATTTCGGCTGACTCGGACTGCCTGAAGACAACAACCAAAGATTCATCCCGTCTACACAAAAGGAACGTAGGTTTTAGATCAGTGCGAATGAAGAGGAAGCCGGGGAGGGAATCTGAAGCTCGCTAACACATTGGCATGAGTATTATGCTGGAGTCCACTCAAGATCTTGAGGAAAAAGCCCATTACCGTTGTCAGTGTTAGAAAGCAAAGAACAGGTGGATGGTTACAGCAGGACGGCTTTGAGAGACTTAATAGGGGAATCTTTCAAAGCACAAAGACGTAACATGTATTTCTATCACTACATGCTTTTTGCTTTGTTAAACGTCTGATTCTGTCATCAAAGACCTCATTATGTCACAATACGTAATACTGAACCACATGAAGGAAGCTTCTGAGAAGGAAAAAACAAGGATACCAGAGTTGGTAACAAAAATGAATGATTGTTTGAGAAAAAAAAAAAAATTAAAATGTTTTCGTTTCTAATGTCTGAAAATAGAGGTATGTCAAATACAGTTGCGCTTTTTGTATCTCCCTGTGCTCTGATGTTACCGGTTTGATGTGAACATCAGGGCTCCACAAATGTGTGTTGTTTTAAAGGGGAGTACAATCTCTATGTAAAGTATGTTTTCGGACAGATGGGGCGTTCATGTACTTGTCCTTTGTGCTTTAACAGAGCAAGTTTAACAGACGGCGTCCTGATACGCCCATTCTGGGCTGTATATGTTTCATTTTTACTCTGTGTGTTTCGTTATATTGGGTATGTTACCAAACTCATCTGAATCGATATTAACAGCTAATCACGCAGCTGACACAACAAACACCGTCTCTCACTGAGAATCATTGAGTTGACCTTTCATTTCAGTGCAACTCTGCTAAACAACAGCAGTAGAGAACTGTTGAACATCACGATGCTAGTGTGGATGTGAATCTCCCCACTGTGTCCGCTTGCAGTTGTTTTCTCCAGGTGCGTAAAGATAGCCGTCACCTGTTCGCTAAGGAACATGGAGTTGGTGTCTGTTATGAAATCAAGTGCCTTCAGAGCCTCTGTAAAATCATTCTACTGTGCTACTGTATCATCTATAGCATTTCCTTTTGGCACGGTTTATAGCGTACATAGACACGTGAGATGAAAGGTGAAAATCAGAGAGGCACGATGAGAGACGGGTGCCCATTTTGAGAGTTGCAGCCCACCACTGATGTCTTGCGTTCCACATACTGTTAGATGATGACTTATTTTTATTTCGACAGCATACATCCCACCTGCTCCACATCCGACTGATGTAAGGAAAACAATGGTGGTGGGACTGGACTAAAAGCACCATTGATTCCTCAGTAGGACATCTGGGAGCTATTATCACCAGGTGAAAAACAGCCGGGAGGGTCACTATGAAATCCACCTGAGAAATCTGATGAGACTTCTGTGCCGCCGAAAAAAAGGCTTTTTTTTTTCTGACATCCCGAGGACTGAGAGGTATGAAAAAACGAGGACCTTTTAGAGGACTGATGCTCACGCTGGACAAGATGATCAGCCTTGATCTGGATCCATCCGGTTGGATTCGTACAAATGATATTTTATTACTCTAATGAAAATGACTGCTTTTACAAAAACTGAACTACAAACTATGAACTACCTGAGACCATCCGTTACCTTAACCAGCTGGTTTTTGGACATGTATTGTAAAATCACTTTTCTCATTCATCTTATTCATTTCTGAGGAAGAATTACGTTGCTCTCTCAGTTTTTTCAGCCCAAAAATGTTCCTTCGGACAACAAATATATATATGTTTTCTTTTTTTGTCTTAAACATTTATTCATTTCTAAGAATCCCTTTGCATTACTATATTATGACATAATTTGAATCTATAGTATGACATTATAAATAAATAATATCAAATATATGAGATTATATGCAAATACACCTGGTAGGGAGGTCTATGGAAACGGTTTCACACTTATTCAGACAAAGCACAATGTGAAATATTAATGTCAATATTCAGAAACACAATACCTTCAACACACAATAAGTTGTTTTTCTCAATTTTATTAAAGTTACAATCAACAGGAATAAACTATCGAATTCTTTACATAAAAAAAAAAGATATTTTACATCTCGGTTCAATAAAAGGCTTTCATGGTATTGTGTGTGGGTTTTTTCCTTAGTATAGATGTTTTCGTTAATTAGACTTTTTTTTCAGTTGCTTGGACATCTTGAGAAAAAAATGCTATATGTCCAAACAAAAGCTTAGAGCAAATTATCAGTTTTTATGCTCTAATTTGAGTACTGATTGATCAATGGAAAAGTTTCTGGATGGACGGACAGATAGATGGATCTGACTTAAATCTCACCTATTTTGGCAATTGTAGCAAAATTACCAACAATAGATTTGTCCATTTGGTAAATAAAGCTAGAGCTGCTCACTTAAAATACATCACTTCTGTATTGTTTTAATTTTTTTATTGGCTCAAGCCGGACTCAAACATTCAAGCAGCACTGCGTGTGTGTGGGGGAGATATATTTTGTCATTCCATGAAATGAAAGCTTTGAATTTTGAAAAGAGGATGTGCAGTTACAGTTCCACTAACCATCACTTAACAGAACATTTGCCGTCTTAATTATGATAAAACCAGTGTGTGGTTGCGCCTTGGGCTGCAAACCCACTTTAAGCCCTAAAAAGTGTGCTAAATGAAGTTGCAGAGAGAGTGCCACTAATCCTTACAAAGACCCGTCTTATTTTGTAGTTTGAGGGGTCTCACCACAGGGTGTCTGGTAGTTTCATCAAAAAATAGATTACAGATTCAGTTTTGGGCCTCATTTGATCTTCGGTTGAAATTGTAAGAATGCTTGTAAAATGGCATTGGCTCTTACTGAAATGTGTTCAGTTCAGGCTTATTTACTAATCTTGACATAAATTTCAGCAGTTTTATAGCCTTTGAATACATTTTCACTGAAACATCCTGCATCAGATATATCAGATAAGTTTTTGTTGGTTTATCTGTTCAGCTGGGTGGCCAAATAAATCCACAGATCCTTATAAGCCAAAAAATAAGAGCTACAGTTTTCCCCAATGACAAATATTTGTTTATCTGCAGTGCAAACTTTTTGCAACTTCTGACCCTTTATTTAAAAAGAAAAAGATTAACTTCTATCAAGCGTGGAGGATTTTTGCACATAATGCCCTGGAGCTTATGATGTTAGGGATGGTTAAAAACCCTCCATTAGGTTATTTTATAAGTACCCATATGATTATCTGTAATTTATGGTCTGAAAGTCCCTACAAGCAGGCCCATTTGTCACCAGTGACAAGCCACTGAGAAAACACACACCGTAATGTATAAAGCTAAAGGCAACTTTGCCTCTGCCTTCCAGTGCTGTCATGTGAAATGAGATTATTGCTGAACAGGTTGGACACCCTTCTATATTTATCTCATTAAAATTATTGGATGAGGTGCTAGTTAATAGCCATCATACATCAAATGTAAATGATTATTTTATTTTTTGGGGGGTGGTCTGGCTGTTTTGAGGGTGATTTGTCTGTGCTTGTAAAATATTTTCCCATAATCCATTATTTCATGGGGAAATGCTCCAAACAAAGCAAGTACCATCTGTTTCCATGCTGTACATTTTCATCTCTATCCTTCTCTCTCCTTGCCCCACTTTCTCTCATGTGAACATATTAACTTAACATACAAATGAGAAAACGTTGCAAGACCAGTGATGCAAACCAACGGAAAAGCATATTGTTTGAGCGGATTATTGAGACTAGCTGGACAGATTTTAGAAAATATCCTGAGTATGCTGAAAACACTGGACTCGCAGTAGTACTGCAGGGATAATCTCTTATCCTTTAGAATAGAGAGCTCGTCAAGTATCTGTCGATGACTTTTTAATGACTTCCACATTTATAATCAGCCTGTGTAGCATTACTTGTCCTGCAAATGCAGTTTTTGCTATAGATGCATTATTAATGTAGTTATTAAAAGTTTGGCTGCAATACAGTATAGATCAATGATATTAAATAGCTTTTATTAGTTCAAGTTCACTTTATTTGTATAGCACAGTTACAACAGCCACTAGGCTGACCAAAGTGCTTAACTTAACCAGATTAAAATATAGCAAGACCTGCATAACAACACATAAAACACAAGTAAGAGCAGCAAAGCTAAGCAAAACCTTAAAACCGGAGTGACAAAACAGTATCAGACTCAAATATAAAACAGTAAAACAGGAGTAGCAAAGCAGTGTCAGACTCAAATATAGAATGGAGAGAAAAAGTAGTATCAGACTCAAATATAATGGAAATACAAGAGTGGCAAAACAGTATCAGACTCAAATATAAAATAGTAGAACCAACCATTAGAGAAGAGATCAATATATTAAAGAAAACAGGTCGGTTTTTAACAGACACTTGAAAACAGACAGAGTAGGGGCCGTTCTAATCTCAATGGGCAGGGTGTTCCAGAGTCGTGGCCCCGCCACCGCAAATGCACACTAACGCGAGGGACTACCAGCAGAGCCTGGTCGTTGGATCTTAGGCTTCTGGAAGGAGTGTAGGGATGAACAAGTTCAGAGAGATAGGCAGGAGCTACGTTATGAAGAGATTTAAAAACAATGAGTAGAATTTTGAAATCTATTCTCTGTCGAACTGGCAGCCAGTGTAGAGATTTGAGAATCGGAGAGATGGTCATATTTGCGACTGCTTATGTAGAAGTCGGGCGGCAGCATTTTGGACTAACTGAAGACGAGCAACTTGATATATACCGCAATAAGGAATTGCAGTAATCTAGCCGACACGTAATAAATGCATGAACAGCCATTTCCAGAGTTTTCAGGGCGAGAAAGCCTTTGATTTTAGCCAATAGACGAAGTTAGTAGAAACTGGAACTGATTACGGATAAGATCTGTTTGTCAGATTTTAAAGGCTGGTCAACAAGAACATCTAAGTTCCGCACTCCTGGAGATTTAAAAGCTGATAGACTCTCTAACTCTGGACTTATACACTGAAAGTTTTCATTTGGGCCGAAAACAATGACCTCAGTCTTGTCTTCATTTAGGAAGAGGAAATTATTTTGGGCTAGCCATGCTTTAACCTCCTCTGGCATCGCAGAAGAGAATTCATCGCTGCAGGGTTGTTTCTCTTGATTGGAATATAAATTTGTGTGTCGTACGCATTAAAAATGAAAGGATACGCCATGACTCCTTAGAATAGCGCCTAGAGCATGTATAGAGAAAACAGAGAAGGAGCCAAAATAGAGCCCTGTGGAAGACCGCAGGTCAGTGGTGAAATTACCTATCTTTACTGTAAACTTTCTGTCAGACAGGTATGACAAACCATTTCAGGACAGAAGCTTTTAGACCCACCCAAGACTCTAGTCTAGATAAAAGAGTAGTTTTTAATATTATATTAAAAACACATATAATAATATTCATTATTGTCATAATTAATTGGTTCCCTGGTAACACTTTACAATAAGGTCTCATTTGTTAACATTGGTTAATGAATTAATTAACACTAACTAACAATCAATGCATTTCAGTATTTATTCATCATTGTTAATGTTAGTTAATAAAAGTATTGTTGATTGTTTGTTCATGTTAGTTGACAGTGCAATAACTAATGTTAGCAAATACAACTTTTGATTTTAATAATGTATTAATATAATTAGCTATAATTAGATTAACATTAGCTAAGATTAATAAATGCTGTAGACTTGTTGTTCATTCTTAGTTCATGTTAACTATAGTAGTTAAAGCTTCAGTCCGTAACTTATTTGGGTTAAAAATTATCGAAAATAAATGATTGAGCAAGTACATAACCAGCCAGTGTTCAAATTTATCTGCGTGCCGTAGCTCGATTCAAAGCGGTAAGCTCGTAATAATGTTTTTAATTCCAGTGGTACTGGTGGATTTCCGCAGGAGATTCGAGCATGTCTTTGCGTCATTACGTCACATCTGTACACATAAAGGAGGAGTCTCGGCTAGTAGGCTATATTGTGTGTGAGGATGCTGGAGGTGGAGATTTATAGCCTTTTCTCACAGCACTTGATATAATTAAACTTATCAATTTGATGGCGGATCCAGAAAGGCTCAAACGACAATCACCAGTGACAACAGATATGCACCCGCTGTAAAGTGCAAAAGACTTCGAAGTGGCTACAGACAAAAAAGATACTGCAACCGGACCCATGCGAAAACAAGGATAAATATCTGAAGGCCTAGTCACGCAATGCTGGTGTTGTTAACATTAACAATTTGAGAACAAAGTATAATTTTTACGGTTTGAGGTGATATGATAAGCGATTGTTAGATTTAATCAGTGTGATTTACTGCAATTCTTTTTTTCCCTTAGTTGGTCAGAACAAAAGTGGATGATATGACATTTTCCGGTGAAAAGTATCCACACCGCGTGGTGACTGACAGCCGCACATTCTCCTCAAAACATTGGATTCATCCGCGCTGTGCCGTGGCACAACCTACCTAAAGTTGATAATTCCGTGAATAACTGCAATAGCACAATGTAAAGTGCTAACTATTCGTTAGTTTTTATGAATGGCTTTTATAAAGCTTTGTGAAAAACACATAATAGTGAAATATTAAAATTAACTATTATTAATATAGCTTTTATGAAGCTACTTGAAAAACTATTAAAAGGAACACAATAATAATCAAGTTTTTCAAATAACTTCATAATAATAATTATCAACATCATAATTATTATTGACATGATTCATTGGTTCATTTGTTTTTTGAAGCAATTTGAAAGACACATAATAGTGAAATAATGATGTTTATTATTATTATTGCTTTGTAAATGCTATCTGAAAACAATGATTATTATAAAAGTAGCTACAAATAGCTTCGTAAAGTTCATTTTAATCATTTTGACCATTGTTTTACTGTTGACTTGTTTTATGAATAGCTATTTTAACTATTTGAAAAACATCAATTATTGAACAATTATTAATGCTGGTTATTAGTGAAATGTATTATTATTATATCTTTTTTGAAGCTATTAGGAAAACTATGATTGTTTTTAATTAAACTTTTTTTTCAAATAGCTTAATAATATTAATAAATAAATAAAACATTTACCATTTTTGACCACTTTTTTTGTTCACCATAAATAGCATTAAAGGGGT